GAGATACAGTACGGGACGTGACGATTGAGTGTTGGTCTCCCCTGAGTTCACTCACACTTTGCTTAAGTGATGAGCTTGTGGAGATACAGTACGGGGCGTCACCACTGAGTGTTAGCCTCACCAGGGGAGTTATCATTTGCCAACTTTATTTACGACTGTCAACACGTCCGTATCTGTCGTTTACGTTTGCGTGATGTGTAGGGTGCCATAATGACGCCGACAACGTCGACAAGCATCAGCATGAGTCCCGAGACGCAGCGCTTAGCAGAACCGTTTCCTCCTTGTGCGAAATCGGTGCGGCGTCATGACGGTCATACGTGGATCCACGAAGTAACCAGAGAGGACTTCGAAGAGGACCCATGAATGACCGTCGTGCCGTACATCAACCGACATCTTGACGATTGGAGCGATGACACTTGGAAGGAGATGGAGAGTGGCTGCCCTTGGGAAAACCATTACAAGTTTGCCAATATGTTAGAGTTCATGAACCTCATTCCACTGCCTGATGGTGTCCTCGAGCACAAGTTCCTGAACCGTATGCGCAAAAAACTCCGCTGCATTAGCCGCCATAACAGTCGCCTCAACTGCGACTACAACAGGTCTTCACCACGAACTTGGGGAAGGACACGCCGACTCAATCTCGATGTTGCGGCGACAGAAGTAAATGTTCTGAATGGATGTTATGTATCTTGTCCACACAAAGAAATTATGATATTTTCATCTGGGAATATAAAAAAAGACACGTCGATTTCCTTATACCTTACACACATAATCTCATGGTGTGTGCACGAATCTCTCAATCTAAGTGTGAGTTCACTCGCACTTGCTGTGTGCACCCCGAGCATTCCACTTAAGTGGTGTGCACACCTGGCTCTCCATCTAACTGCGAGTTCACTCGCACTTGTGCTCTAAGCCCCGAGCAATCCGCTTAAGTGAATGTCACGAATTTATTATACGAATTCGTCCACGCAAAGATTTGATGACATTTTCATCCGGGAATATACAACTGACAAGTCAGCGTTCATATTAAATCATAACGCTGATGGTGTGCGCACCTGCCTCTCCATCTGAGTGCGAGTTCACTCACACTTAAGTGAGAGTTCACTCACATTTTGCTTAAGTGAGGAGCTTGTGGATATACAGTACGGGGCGTGACGATTGAGTGTTGGCCTCACCAGGGGACTTATCATTTGCCAACTTTATTTACGACGGTCTACACGTCCGTATGTGTCGTTTATGTGTGCGTGATGTGTAGGGTGAGTAATGTCGTCGAGACCTTCGACAAGCATCAGCATGAGTCCCGAGACGCACATGCGCTTAGCAAAACCATTTTCTCCATGTGCGAAATCAGTGCGGCATCATGACGGTCAAACGTGGATCGACGAAGCAACCAAGGAGGACTTCGAAGAGGACTCATGGATAACCGTGGTCCCGTACATGAACCGACATCTTGATGAGTGAAACTATAGTGATTGGAACGCGATGGAGTGGGTCTGCCCTTGGGCAAGCCATTACAAGTTTGCCAATATGTTGGAGTTCGGGAACCTCATTACACTGCCTGATGGTGTCTTTGAGCCCAAGATCCTAAATTGTACGCGTAAATCGATCCGCCACCTTAGCAGCTTGAGTGGTCGCCTCGACTACAAGTACATCACATCTTCACCACGAACTTAGGGAAGTTCGTAGAAGCAAGAGTTGGTGGACTGCGCTCGTCATTGTTCATTCTTGGAACACTACCCACCTCGTTGCCCAGGGACTTCTCCACAAGCTATGTCATACTGTTGTGTGCGGTTGACTACTGACGGATGTCATTTCGCCAGAGTGCTATGTGTGGCTTCTT